CCAGCCAGGGCTTTGTCAAGCCTCACCTTAAAAACTTCTAAGGAAGGAGATTCCACCACCTCCCTAGGTAACGCATTCCAGTGTTTCACCACCCTCCTAGTGAAAAAGTTTTTCCTAATATCCAACCTAAATCTCCCCCACTGCAACTTGAGACCATTACTCCTTGTTCTGTCATCTGCTACCACTGAGGACAGTCTAGAGCCATCCTCTTTGGAACCCCCTTTCAGGTAGTTGAAAGCAGCTATCAAATCCCCCCTCATTCTTCTCTTCCGTAGACTAAACATCCCCAGTTCCCTCAGCCTCTCCTCATAAGTCATGTGTTCCAGTCCCCTAATCATTTTTGTTGCCTTCCGCTGGACTCTTTCCAATTTTTCCACATCCTTTTTGTAGTGTGGGGCCCAAAACTGGACACAGTACTCCAGATGAGGCCTCACCAGTGTCGAATAGAGGGGAACGATCACGTCCCTCGATCTATTAGCAAGTCTTTCTTCTCCCAGTCAGTCAGGTAATTTGCATTCAAACAGACAGGAGCCTGTTCACCAGTTTTCAAATCCTTCACTGCTACCAGTCCTAAGGCTGGACTCTGTCTTAAAGAGAAACCATCCATTTTCCCTAACAAGCTAGACACAAAGTTCTCTTTTCCTTCCCTTACCAACCTGTGCTGCCACATGGAATCAGAAGTTAACTCCACTGAGAGAATACAAGTCCTATCGAAAGTGTCTAGAGATGAGAGTATACCTGCCATCCCCTGCATTCGCGAGAGATTAACTACACAGCTGATCTGCTCTGCAGACTCAGCTACCCAGTCTTCCCTCTGAACCTGAGAGACACACTGTTCACTTACAGAATCTACATGGAGACATTCCTCTCTCAACAACTGTGTCTCCTCAACAAGCTGGCCAAACACAGCCACTTGGTTATAGGACTGTTCAACTTTCTTAACAGCTTTCACTCCATCTGAGACCTTCTCAAAGCTATCCACTGGATCTTTCAAAAGGAAAGTCAGTGTATCCATTCACAACAGAAAATTTCTGGCTGTTAGGAACTGAAACGTTCTTGATCACTTTCACGCCCTTCAGTTGCAGTAAACTGCTTGCAAAGACTGCCATAAGGATTCCTTTCCCTCGGGGCTTTTCTATGCAACAATTCACCCTTCTCAGAAATTCTGCCCTTACCCTCTTGGCCGAGGGCTTGCTCTAAAGGAACACTTTCCTGAGCAACAACAGACTCTTTCTGAGTCTCACTTACATCCAGAATCACTTCTGGCCCATCAGGCGGATTCCTACACAATCCCCTTTCAGGCAAACTTATAGACTTCCGAGATAAAAAGTTAGAGATATTCTCCTTCTCTTTGCCACACACAAGTTCAGGAATCTTTTCCTTCTTGCTGCAAGTTTCCACACAATCAGTAGGTAACACAATCAAATCACCTTTCTGCTCTCGTTGTGCCCTGGCTAGGATCTCACCCTGATCAGACAGAGTTGCTACACCCTTTCCCAGCAACACACTAGCAACAGGCAAAATACAAGCACCAGAATTGTCTGGTCTCTGGGATTTTGCTAGGACACTAACTGGATGCATCCTAGTTACACTGCCATTCTCCCTAGCAGACACAAACTTAGGACCATTCCCTTCCTGGGCTTTAGTTGAATCCAGAACCAACTTTGAGACAACTGCACTATTCTCAACCATCACAGGCTGAAAGGAATCTTCTTTCTGCTCCACAGATAAAGAAGAGCTGGAGACACATTCTCCTTTACCAGACACACAGCTTGGGATCTCTTTCCCCTGGTCCCAGCACACAGGGCTGTTCACAGACAACTGCTTGGAGACTGGGGTAGCTCCCTCCACAAGCAAGTCAATACCCCTGACAGACACAGGCACATTTCCTTCACTGTCTCACTTCTCCACACAGGTAACAGGTAAGGTATAGGGACACTCATCTTCCATTCTCCTCGCTTTCCCAAACTGCTGACTAGACAAAGCCATCAGCTCATAAGGCTGCCTAGGCTCATCCAAATTTTCCTTACCAGGCACATTGCCACTCCCAACAGATAACCTGCTGCTCTTCTCACTATACTGAGCTACTTCCAGCAAATCACAGTTACCCTTTTCAGGTTCACTTTTACAAGCTGTACTAGCCAACAATCCATCGCTCATAAAAAATCTACCCTTTCCTTCCTCAATTAGGGCTTCAACCTGACCATCCACTTTAATCTGTTCCTGAGAAACATTGTCCAGACCAATGAGTTCTTTCGGTGCTTGATCTAATTCCAGATTCACTTCTAAGACATTAGACAGACATTCAGAAACTTCATTCACAGACAAACAGCTCTTTTTCTCAGACCAAACATTTGGAGAAACCCTGCCCAGTCAAATAATTGCCCATAATAGACACAGGTTTAAAATCATTCCTTTCCTGTGACTGGCTACTTGGACTGAACAAAGCTTTAATATTTTCCCCAATCAAAAGATCCTTAGGCAATAATTTCCTTACATGAGCTACAACTTCATGCTTAGTACCATTCCATTCAAGGTGGATTCTGGCTAAAGGCACACTTACAGTAAACTCACAGAGGACAACAACATTCACACTCTGATTTGGAAGTAATCTTCCTCTTTGACTAGATCTGCTTTAACAAGAGTGATGTTATAAACCATAATTTGCCCTAAATAGCTTTTACCATTGACTTCTACACTCTCTCTGAATTTTTCACCACCACTCCCATACAGAGCATTGGCACAATTTATGGGGCCACCCTCTACTGAACTCACAGTAACAGCATTTACATAAAAGGTGGCAAAGTTGGGGTACGTTTGGTTACACCCAGACAATTGCTCAGAGTTATACAACACACCAACACTGTTATATCCTGGACTTCAAAGAGGATACAATTTCTGCTGTTCTTCCATTGCTTTTTTGACTTGGAGCTGAAGTCTTGTCAGTTTCTTGTTGCATCTGGCGGACCCTCTCCTTAGCAGCCAGCCTTTCCTTCTGTCTTTCAGAAGCTTCTTTTTCCAGTTGGGCCAAGGCTTGCTTCTCATTCAAATTTCTGTCCGTTTTTGTTCATGTTCCAACTGCAGGCTGTCTCTCAGGGCAGCTTCTTTAGCATCAGGTAAGGACTGTGCTCCTTCCTCCTGATCACTGGCCATTAACAGATATCTCAGTTCTTGATTTGTAGCTTCTTTGTAAAGCTTATCCCCTTTTCTGAACACAAATCTTCAAGGGCTTTTTTGTCAAGGCCCTCATATGCTCTTTGCTCACCCATTGCAACTGGTCTTTAACCAACCAACCTCTCAATACCAAAATTCAAATTTGGATAGCGTGGGGTTCTGATCCAAAGCTTAACTGACCTGGTTCTGTGGATCCAAGCATGACTACGCCACTGTAACGATGCTGGTTGTGGTGGGACCCAACTGCAAGTGCCAATTCAGGACAAATTGCTTAAAGCAGGGCAGTTAGAGCCCAGGACTCGGGGTTTTCCACCTCTAAGGCAAACCAAACCAGCCAGACTGAGAAGACTTTGGTTTTACCCCACTGGCTAACCACAAGTCACACAATCAATTCCCTTAGAGAACTCCCATTTCCCAGTATCACCACCAGTGCCACTCATTATGGGGACAGATGGTTATGAAAACCAATACCCAACAAATACTATGTACAAAATTGGTCATAATTTTGTAGAAGAGTGGACATAGGGGTACAGACTGACACAGTGTCTGTCTATTCCCAGCAGATATGTGGGTATTTCAATCCCTCATAAGCAGAGTGTTCGGCATCTTCAAGGACCTGGGGAGCTGGTCCTGGGAATTCACTGGTTTATTGTGACACTGGAATTGTGAGACACTTTATATTATTATTATTTTATTATTAATACCAATATGATAAAATTGCGATAAATCGTGCTAGATATGCCATGTAAGGTGTCAGTGAAAATGCTATGATTTTCCAAGTATGGTGATTTTGTATCTATCTTCGTATCACCTTTGTATTGTGAGATATAGCTATGTAGGGTATATCTGTATTTCCAGACTTGTGCAGTGTTTCTGGATGACACATCCAGACATATTGGCATCAGCACTGCCTAGCCTGTTCGATGGCCCATCCAGGGTCATCAGCTGTACTATGAGCACATGGAAAGGACCAAGGGGATACACCTATTGAGTCCGCAAGACATGCAGGGGTATGCCTGTGTAGTGAGAACTCCAAGGCTTTTCCATGCCATGTGCTGTGAAGCTTGTGATTGGGACAAAAGAAGTACAAGCCACATGGCAAAAGGACTATAAAGGGAAGCTGCATCTGGATTTTCTGGATTGAAGAGAAAATCCCTCTTCTTACCTCTGGAGCAACTTCTCTACAAACTGAAGCCTTGAACAAAAAGACTGAATGATGTGGATGTGTTCCAGATGGACTTTCAAGCCAGCAACTCACCAATACTGTGAAGAACCAGATACAGAGATTTCTGAACGTATCTGCTTTCCCATTTAACAACTTCTTTCTTTCTGTCTTTCTTTTATAATAAACCTTTAGTTTAGATGCTAAAGCACTGGCTGGAAGGATGGAATTTTGGGTAAGTTCCAAATCTATACTGACCTGGTAATGTGGCTGACCCTTTGGGGTCAGAAGAACATTTTGCCTGTGTGCACAGAGGTTTTAAATAACCTCTCACTGTGCTGGACCTAGGTGCTGATTGGGAGTCAGAGAACTGGAATGCAATAAACGGGGCTGTGTGATTTCTTTTTTCAGATTCTCAATAACCAGTGTGGGGGAATCACAAGCACAGTTTGTGACTGGTCAGTGAGTTTAACTTCAGTGTTAACCACCAGTTTTCAGAGCATCTGCTCTCCCTTTTTCAGCCTGCCCTGACTTTAGTATTTTCAGTGAGGACTATCAGAGGCACACAAGGTCACACTAAGTACTGTAGTTAAATTAATAGAATATTTTTTATGACAGTCTTATGAAATCAACTGAACTCCTTTCTTTTCTTTCATCTGAGCAGGGTTTCCAGTTTTCAAACCTGATATGATCTCCCAGCTGGAACAAGGGGAAGAGTCATGGGTCTCAGAGCTCCAGGGTTCACAGGAAAGACCGATCCTGAGAGCTCCCTGCATAGGTGAGGAAACATTTAAACCAAATCAGAATCTGTAAGTGCCTGAAGGAAACATCTGGGATGCCCTACAAAGCCCTTGGGAGGTCTCTCAGTTCATTATTGTCGCAAGCAGGGGTCATTTCCTCAGGGTAACTATAGCTCAGGGCTTCCTGTAGATTCTAGCAGACACCAGGCCACAGCTTCCTCTATTTCTCCCTGTGAATTTGGATGTGATGTGAAGGCCCAATTCATCCCCTCCTCTCTCCTATTTGGGAGAAGAGTTTGGGGGAGTTCAGTTCCTGATTTTTACTTGACTTCTCTCCAGCACTTGTTTTGGTTTGGCCTTCCCCTTTCCATCCCTGTTTGAGGTTTCTGTCTCTACCGCAGCAGGTGATGCGATGGCATGTGAGAAAGAGGAGCAGAATTCTCAGCAGGAAGATGCTGAGCAAGTGGATAAACACAGAGCACTATCACAAAGATTGGAAAGGAATGTGTCCAGGAGTCATGACCAGGAAAAATCCTGTGAGATTCAGCACAGACCAGAAAGAAAGCAGGGAAACCAGCCAGGGGAGGAAGTGGGTGAATGTATTTCCTGTCACGGAACTCAGAAGCACCTCAAGGAAACCACAACACAGCAGGAAATCCTCAAGGGAAAGAGAAAAAATACATGCACTGAGTGTGGAAAAAACTTATGTGACTACTCAGCCCTTCTAAAGCATCAGAGAATCCACACAGGGGAGAGGCCCTATGAATGCAGTGAGTGTGGGAAAACCTTCACTCGCAGCTCGCACCTTATTAGTCATGAGAGAATCCACACAGGGGAGAGGCCCTACGGATGCAGTGAGTGTGGGAAAAACTTCACTCACAGGTCAGCCCTTTCTGAACATCGGAGAATCCACACAGGGGAGAGGCCCTATGAATGCCGTGAGTGTGGGAAAAGCTTCACTCACAGATCAGCCCATTCTAGACATCAGAGAATCCACACTGGGGAGAGGCCGTATAAATGTAGTGAGTGTGGGCAAACCTTCACTAGCAGCTCAGCACTTTCTGGACATCAGAGAATCCACACGGGGGAGAGGCCCTATGACTGCCGTGAGTGTGGAAAAAACTTCACTCACAGATCAGGCCTTTTTGAGCATCAGAGAATCCACACGGGGGAGAGGCCCTATGAATGCAGTGAGTGTGGGCAAACCTTCAATTGCCGCTCACACCTTATTAGGCATCAGAGAATCCACACAGGGGAGAGGCCGTATGAATGCAGTGAGTGTGGGAAAAGCTTCACTCACACTTCAGGCCTTTTTCACCATCAGAGAATCCACACAGAGGAGAGGCCCTATCAATGCCGTGAGTGTAGGAAAACCTTTAATCGCAGCTCGCACCTCATTAGGCATCAGAGAATCCACACTGGAGAGAGGCCCTACGGGTGCAGTGAGTGTGGGGAAAGCTTCACTCACAGGTCAGCCCTTTCTGAACATCAGAGAATCCATACTGGGGAGAGGCCCTACGGGTGCAGTGAGTGTGGGAAAAACTTCACTCACAGGTCAGCCCTTTCTAGACATCAGAGAATCCACACAGGGGAGAGGCCCTACGAATGCAGTGAGTGTGGGAAAAACTTCACTCAGAGATCAGCCCTTTCTAGACATCAGAGAATCCACACAGGGGAGAGGCCCTATGACTGCAGTGAGTGCGGGAAAACCTTCACTCACAGATCAGGCCTTTTTGAGCATCAGAGAATCCACACAGGGGAGAGGCCCTATCAATGCCGTGAGTGTGGGAAAAGCTTCAATTGCAGCTCACACCTTATTAGGCATCAGAGAATCCACACCGGAGAGAGGCCCTTTGAATGCAGTGTGTGTGGGAAAACCTTCACTAACAGCTCAGCCCTTTCTGAACATCAGAGAATCCACACAGGGGACAGGCCCTATGGATGCCGTGAGTGTGGGAAAAGCTTCACTCACAGATCAGGCCTTTTTCACCATCAGAGAATCCACACACGGGAGAGGCCCTATCAGTGCTGTGAGTGTGGGAAAACCTTCTCTTCCTACTCAGCACATATTATCCATCAGAGAATCTGCAGTGGGGATCAAGACCATAAAAACCTCTAGGGCTGTCAATACTTTACTTTTCCTGATTCCCACATTGTAACTTTTTTTAAAGCTGTTTGAACTGTTTGCAGCACCGTTATCCCTCAGCTTGTCCAGATGCGTGGCCCATTTTAGCCTTTTGCAGTTCACCCTCTTTGAGGTGGACCCATTTGTCCTATCAATTCCATTCTCCCATGAATAATTTGAGTGTGCCCTTCCTACCAGGGAGCATCACGTTTATGCCATTCCTCCTATTGCAATGTTATTGTTAGAGTTACCAGTGATGCAACTTGTATCATTGCCAGTTGTTCTCACGTTGCTCTAGGTTCTGCTGAAGAGCAGTTATATTGGGAACTTTTAAATTCTATTCAAATGAAGAGGAACGGGGCAGGAAAAGAAGTGTCATTTCACCCTCTGTGACACTGGAAGGATATGGGGTGACTCAGATTCCCTCCTTCCCCATCTCTGCAGAACTGTTACCTTTTGGCTGAGCCAGGCAGAGTTTATTTTCATCACATTCTACCCATCCGCTTCTGTAAGTGTCCTGTGATGAAGTGTTCTCAGCTGTCTGTGCTTGGAGATGATGCTTTGACTTCTTTAATCCTATATCAGAGTCGCTATGACTGGAGATGAAAGTGTCAAAGACCTGCAAGGGGACTTTAAATGGATCCCAAACACAGTGTGATTGGAGTTTAAATCCCAGGTTCCATCAATTGGTAAAGCCACTTCTGGCAAGGGGGCTGTTTTGTCCCCCATTATGAGGGATGCTAGGTTACTAAAAATTTTGTAAATAGCATAACTGACTCTTGAGACAGTGCTGAGTGAAGCAGGTTTGAATGGATCAGGAGAACGTAATGGGAGAATCTCTTGTCCTGATTCTGAATAATCAGAGGTAACCTGCTTTGGAATTTCACTTGAAACTTTCATTTTCATGTATTCTATCTCTCTGTGATGTGGATTTCTATCTTTCCTGAAGGCTGTCTGGTCACCCAATTGGATATTAGTTCAGTTTGATAGGCTGTAGCTCAGATTTATTGGAGAATTTAAGACAAATGACCATTGGCTAAAGTAGTCATTTCTCAGTTCAACTTTGCTTTTTCCCTGTCCCTCCATGATGACATGGAGAAAGTTCAAGTGCAGTTTTGTCAACATTAGAGAACTCTCCATTTTACTGGACATGCGAAGAAAGAAACAGACGTGATTTAAAATCTCCACTCAGAAATGGTGAACAACAGCAGAACCCCAACTAACAGAAGAAAGTGCATATGATCACAGTGTAGTTCAGTTGTTTAAGGCAATATTATCTCAGATGATCTGGTGAGAGAATTCCCTGGTAAGTGATTTGGAACTAGGCAAAATGCCCTTGTATTTGGTTCCCCAAGCATTTGTAACCCAGGCCCTACAGAAGATCTCCCCTAGCTAATCCTATGGTATGGGGAATGCTCCCCTTCATGATGCAGATGTTGAGGAAATAGTAGTGGGATTTTTGTTGAATTTATCCTTTGTAGGTGCCAAAAAGGTGTATAAAATGAAATCAGTGTGGGAAATCTAATAGCTGCAGAAAAATAGCTATTTTTGAATAGAAACTCTAGCTCTAGTAGCTAACAGAGATTCTGATCTAGCCCTGTGTCCTGTCCCTTTCCTGGAACTGTGCTACCAAATTAAAGAACAGCTGGGCATTTTTCAGGAAGTCATTGCTCACTAACACTGCTGAGATTTTGAGTGGTTTCATAAAGGATTCTACTTCAGAGAAGTGTAAATTTACCCTAAAAAGGGCAAGGATTTGGGGTTGAAAAAGTACACACTCAATTCTTGCTTTCCACCTCAGTAAAGGAAGCTATGATGACCAATGACCCAGAAAATTGTTTGCACAACTTCCCTTCCTAGTTCAATATCACTGATTACAGTTCCAAAGGATTCAGAGTAGCAGCCATGTTAGTTTGTATCCATAAAAATAAAAGGAGTATTTGTGGCACCTGAGAGACTGACAAATTTATTAGAGCATAAGCTTTCATGAGCTACAGCTCAATTCATCGGTATGCATCCGATGAAGTGAGCTGTAGCTCATGAAAGCTTATGCTCTAATAAGTTTGTTAGTCTCTAAGGTGCCACAAGCTCCAAAGGATGCCATTGTTAGTTTGAGAACAATCACCCTTCACTGTTTGGATCTAAAGAGAGAGTGCTTCATAGGACAGTCCTTCCCTGTGGATGCCTGATTGGTTAACAAGGACTTTCAGGCTGTAGAAATGATGGTAACCAATGAGGCAATGAATGTGTCAGGCTCCAATTTCAGACTTCTGGATCCACACATGTTGAGTCCTGGTACTATGGTTTCGTGTCTGATGTTATGGCTACACAATAAAGCTGATGTTGGTACAGATACACCCATATAACTGTGCTGGTCTAGCACTGCTATTAGAGATGCTCTAAGCCAATGGGAGAGATCTCTCCCATCAGACTTCGTTAGTCCAGCCCCCGCAAGCGGCGGTGACTATGTTGGCAGGAGAAACTCTCCTGCTGACGTAGCGCTATGTACACAGGGGATTAGGGCTGTGTAACTATATTGCTCAGCTGGGTGGATTTTTCACACCCCTGAGCAATATAGTTATACCGATAAATGTCTTTAGTGTAGACTGGACATTTTTTCTTGTTTTATGCATTCACCTCACTTCTCCACCTCCTCCTACTTTGAAAGAATAAAAAGTGTGAAAAGAGAGGTATTTTTCCTCATGATGCAAACATTCCTACATAGGACACCCCTTCCACCAACATACATTGCAGAAGATCCTGAGATATATGAACTCACAGAAGTGGTTGGGACCTAGATTGGGACAAGCCATAATTTGAGCCAAGGTTCAGTTGTTGGAAGTGGGGATTAAAAGAAAACTAAGGGTACGTCTACAGTACAAAATTATTTTGAAATTATTCTATTTGAATTTTTGGAAGTGATTTTATACATTCAGTCTTCTGTGTCCTAACTAAAGCACGTGAATTTGGCAGAGTGCATCCAAAGTAACGAGGCTAGCATCGAATGTCAGAGCGGTGCACTGTGGGTAGCTATCCCACAGTTCCCGCAGTCCCCGATGCCCATTGGAATTCCGGATTAAGCTCCCAATGCATGATGGGGCAAAAACATTCTCTCGGGTGTTTCTGGGTGTGTCTCATCAGTCGCTCCTCCCTACGTGAAAGCTCTCCCGCTCTTGCTGCACTACTGAGCTTCTTCATGTTGTCTGTCCTGGGCTCCTGCCTCAATGAAAGCTACAGAAGACAACCATTTCCTGTCTTTTTTTGGCTATCGTGAACTGAACAGCATCTCTTCCACTGCTACTCTGCTCTCCTATGTTTCGCGCCCTTTTTCCAGGATTACCTGTGCAGGCGCCACAGCGTGGCAAGCATGGAGCCCGCTCAGGTCTCCACTGCAGTTTTGACCAGAAAATTACGGTTGGGGATGTTGAAATGCCTATAGTTATCCTCGCAGACCCAGCCTACTGCTTAATGCCATGGCTCATGAAGCCATACACAGGCACCCTGGACAGTGGTAAGAAGCTGTTCAACTATAGGCTGAGCAAGTGCAGAACAGTGGTAGAATGTGCTTTTGGACGTTTGAAAGCGCGCTGGTGCAGTTTACTGACTCGGTTAGATCTCAGCATAACCAATATTCCAATTGTAATTGCTGCTTGTGGTGTGCTCCACAATATCTGTGAGAGTAAGGGAGAGATGTTTCTGGTGGGGTGGGAGGTTGAGGCAACTCACCTGGCGGCCAGTTTCGCACAGCCAGACAACAGGGCATTTAGAAGAGTGCAGCAGGGCGTGCCGCACATCAGAGAAGCTTTGAAAAACACTTTCATGACTGGCTGGGTTACGGTGTGACAGTTGTGTTTGTTTCTCTTGAAGTTACCCCTCCTCCCCCATATATGAAAGGAAGTAAAGTCACAATTGTTTAAAAAACATTCTTTATTATTTGTTACACAAAACACTGAGAGAAATAAGAAGGTAGGGTGGGGCGGGTATTGGGTTAGGGCGGTGGAGGAGGAGGGAAGGATAAGTCCAGAAACCAAATCAAAATTTTGGCTATGCCAGCTTTCTGCTCAATCCTCTGGGGTTGAGTGTGGGTCCCCGTAGCCCTCTCCCCCCCCCCCCGACATGTTCTTGGGTGTCTGAGTGAGGAGGCTATGGAACTTGGTGAGGAGGGAGGGTGTTTATTCAGGGGCTGCAACAACAGTGTGTGGTTTTGCTGCCTTCCCCACATTACATCCACCATACAGCAGAGCATGTCAGTTTGCTCCCCCATGAACTTGACCATAGCATCCTGCCTGCTCTCATCGCGCACATCCCTCCTCTCTTCATATTCATGTAATGATTTACAGGACTCCGCAATTGTTTACCTCCACGCATTCAGCTGGGCCCTATCAGTGCCAGAGGACTGCATGAGCTCGGCAAACATGTCATCCCAAATTTGTTTTTTCCACCTTCTAATCTGGACCAGCCTCTGGGACGGAGTAGATGGGGCCATGTTGAAACATTTGCACCTGTGGGAGGAGAAAAAGGGAGGGCAGTATTTTAAAAGATTCATTTTAGAGAACAAAGGGGACACTCTTTCTCAGTGAAACAGGCAATTCATAGTACACAGCACATGTTCTTTCTGTACAAGGTCGCATTTTGCCTCTTATACTGAAGTGCCTGCCACTTTGGTATGAGTAAACCATCACACACGGCCGGGCAACAGAGTTCAGCTTGCAGGCAGCCACGGGGCATGTGGGGTTCTGCTTCTTCCGCATTCCTTTCAATGCTTTCAAACTGCTGGGCCCCCTTTCCCATAGCAAGCAATGCCTGGTAGGTTTGTCATATAAAAGGAGTGCCTGCAGGCTCTCTGGGATGATCGCTTCACACAACACCCTCCTGCCCACCGCGTGGCTCTGATGAGGCTCTGAGCAGGGATGAGTCTTTTAAACTAAATGCAAACAGCCCAGCGTCGCTGGGTTTCCCCCTTACCCCTCACCACGTGGCTCTGATCAAGCTTTCACTCACCAGAAGTAACTTCTCCAGGGTCATGGTCCGGGAGCCTGCCTTGGGAGTGGGGGGAGGCTATTGGCTCCAGTGTTAAGAATAGTTCCTGGCTGGGGGGAAAATGGATTCCCCACTTGCCGCCTGTGTGCTGTCATCATCCTCCCTCCGTGCAACTCCCCCCTTGCAAGCATCCACGGACAGTGGTGAGATAGTGGTGGCGTCACCCCCCATAACTGCATGCAGCTCACGGGAGAAATGGCATGTGTGGGGCTGTGACCCAGAGCACCCGTTCGCATCCCTGGCTTTTTGGTACACTTGCCTGAACTCTTTGATTTTTGTTTGACACTGCTCTGTGGCCCTGGAGTAGCCTCTTTCCGTCATGGCCCTGGAGACTTTAGTGTATGTATTTGCATTTCTTTTTTTGGAACATAGTTCTGCCATAACAGATTCATCTCCCCAACATGTAATGAGATCCAGTACCTCCTGTTCGGAAGATGCTGGAGCTCATCTGTGAATCCGGGACTGTGTGGTCTCCTGAGATGGTGGACTCTGCATGGTCGCCTGTGATGGTGGACCATGCTGATGGTCACCTGTGCTGATGGTGACCAAACAGGAAATTCAAAAGTTCCCGGGGCTTTTACTGCCTACCTGGCTAGTGCATCGGAGTTCAGAGTGTTGTGCAGAACGATCACAAGGGAGCATTCTGGGATAGCTCCTGGAGGCCAATAACATCGAATTGTGTCCACAGTACCTGTAACCCGGAACTGCGATCTCTATTTTAACGCTACTCCACTTGCCAAGGTGGAGTACAGAAATCGGAGTACAGAGCCCTTTAAATCAAAAAACTGGTTTTGGTGTGGACGGAATCAGTTTTATTTTGAAGTAACTTGGCTAATTCCGAAATAATCATGTACTCTAGACCAGGCCTAACATATGTGACAAGAATTTGTGATCTTTGAATATGTTGTTGTTACCAGTGAAAATGAAATTATAGGTGAAGTTATTGGTTAAAGAGCAAGAGACTAATTGTGTGAGAATCTGAATTATTTTGGAAAACTGAAACTTGTGTTGTTTTTTGTTTTGTTAGTCATACAGGAAATGATGGCTAGCCTTGAAAATTCATTTGATTTAATTTACCCCCTGTAGTGTAAGGAGTTCTGGTAGAAAACCTCCAGAGGTTGGTGTTGGAGAATGTGTGTGAGAAAGAGTGTACAAGAGAATATTGGCCCAGTGTAGATTTTAATATTTTGTATTTCACATAGTACGAATTTTGCTTAGCTTCAAAGTCAATTTCTATTAAAAGGAAAACTATTTGTGGAGACAAGTTGTATAACTTTTTACACACTTAGACTGTACGGGTCACTGTGTTCCCCATTTCTCTAATTTGCAAAGGAAAGGCATGACGTCTGTCGTAGGATATGTCCTGCAGCTGGGAAAGCTGCAATCGTCAACCATCAGTATCAAGGAAAGGCTGAAGTCCATTGCCTTTCATATGAAAAAGACATCCAAAGGCTGGTCTATGCTGCAAAGCTACGTTGACATAGCCACATCGCTCAAGGGTGTAAAAAATCCACTCCAGTGAGAGAAGGAATTAATGTGACCTGAACCCCAGTGTAGACAGTGTTAGGTTGTCAGAAGACTACTTCCAGTGTTTGAAGTGTAGACATAGCCTTAGACAGACTGATCCCCTATGGGAAACAAGTCATAACATGAATTCCAATTTTGACCCATCTTCCTGTATGTGAGAAAGCTACTAGTATGGAGGGCTGAGCTAGCTGTCCAATCGTCTTGTTCCTCAACTGTAGCTACAGCTCTTCGTACCCATCGATAAAAAGACTGAGAGAAATGGAGAGTTCCAACCCTTGTCATTTTAGTATCTTATTGTTCCTTTCCCTCTTTTTTGTGCTGGCTTTTCTTTTATATCAGGGAGTGACTGTATAGCTAAATGCATGTGTGACAAAAGCTCATTGGTGCTAATTGGCAAAGAGGTCACTGTTATTCACAAGCAACTTCTGTCTCAGACCTTTCAAACTCACCACACCAAATACATTGATTTTATTATTTTTATCCAGGAAGCATTGCGGTGAGCTCTCTACTGAAAGCTTGTAAATTATTGTTACCCCTAATCACTGCAGGAGGTGTGTATGAGTCATACTGAAGGAGCAATATAAGTACATGGAAAATTATGCCCTTATGGTATTGTCATGAAAGTGAGTCACCCCAGTCATAGGTCTTGGTGGGGACGGCCCATTCAAGTGGGAGGGAATTGTCAGCTGTCACTTGATAACCACTTATGCAATGTATTGCTCCTTTGTCAACCTTTGCACCAACCCAAAAAAACTAAAGGAAAACTATCAAAGACAAACTCTAGACATCAAAACCCTGTGGAAATGAAAAGGACAATATGTCTATAAAGAGATCGTCCTTTCTGTGAATAAAGACAAAAGATTGAGTCAGTTTATAACGGGGGGAGAAAAACACTCAGGGTCCATTCACCAAGGAGATCCCTAGCAACCAGTGTTGCATCATCAAAGGGAGGGCCCTGGCTCCTAGGGACTAGCAATCACTGCAATAGACTGAAGAGCGAGGTGAAAATCCACTTAGCTAGGAAAGGTAACTATTAAAAAGTGTAGGTTGCATTTTGTGATTTTGTTTTGTTGGTAACGGTTGGTTTCCATCACTCACATTTGTTTCTGTTTGAATCTCTATCCCTTGTTGAATAAATTTCTGCTTGTTTGATAACTGTACTCAAGTGACAGGTTTCAGAGTAGCAGCCATGTTAGTCTGTATCCGCAAAAAGAAGAGGAGGACTTGTGGCACCTTAGAGACAAACCAATTTATTTGAGCATAAACTTTCGTGAGCTACAGCTCACTTCGTCTCAAGTGCTGTGTGTGATCTAGGAGCAGTGGTCTACAGTAAAACTGATAACCTGTGATATACCATTGCTTTGGGAAGAGAGGATCTGGGATTTCTCTGAGTATCTGGTGATCGGGGCTGGACCCCAGAAAGGGGCACACTGAAGGAACTCAGGGGTTAGGGTGCCTCTACTGTCCTTGAGTGGCCAACAGGCTGGGTGAGTTTGGTCGCGAACATCCAGCTGCCAAATGCAAAACTCCCTCAGCACCCTAAGAAGGGTCACAATGTGCAGCTATGTTGATCCACCTGTCAAATCCACACAGGGAAGGCACCCTATCGCATAGTTCCCTGAATCACAGTACCCCTAAAAATCTGCTGTAAGAGATTGTGGAAGATCTGCTCTTTGCTCTGTGAAAGCATATAAAGAATCCAATCCCTGATGGGTACAGATTGGGTCCAGAGTGACCTAGAGAAATTGGAGGATTGGTCCAAAAGAAATCTGATGAAGCTTAACAAGAAGTGCAGAGTAATGCCTTTAGGATGGAAGAATCCCATGCTCTGATACAGGCTAGGGAGTGACTGGCTAAGCGGCAGTTCTTCAGAAAAGGACCTGGGGATTACAGTGGATGAGAAGCTGGATATGAGTCAACAGTGTGTCCTTGTTGCCAAGAAGGCTAATGGCATATTGGATTGCATTAATATGAGCGTTACCAGCCGATCGAGGGAAGTGATTATTCCAGAAGTGGCCAATTTGTGGCTCCGGAGCCACACGCAGCTCCTCAGGGAGGTAAATATGCAGCTCCTTGTATAGGCACTGACTCTGGGGCTGGAGCTACAGACAATAACTTTCCAATCTGCCAGGGGGTGCTCACTGCTCAAGCCCTGGCTCTGCCACAGGCCCTGCCCCCTCTCCACCCCTTCCCATCCCCTCCCCTTATTATTCCTCTCTATTCAGTGCTGTTGAGGCCACTTCTGGAGTACTGCATCCAGTTTTGGGGCCCCCCACTACGGAAAGGATGTGGACAAATTGGAGAGAGCAATGAAAATGATTAGGGGGCTGGAGCACATGACTTATGAGGAGAGGCTGAGGGAACTGGGGATGTTTAGTCTACGGAAGAGAAGAATGAGGGGGGATTTGATAGCTGCTTTCAACTCCCTGAAAGGGGGTTCCAAAGAGGATGTATCTAGACTGTTCTCAGTGGTAGCAGATGACAGAACACGGAGTAATGGTCTCAAGTTGCAGTGGGGGAGGTTTAGGTTGGATATTAGGAAAACCTTTTTCACTAGGAGGGTGGTGAAACACTGGAATGGGTTACCTAGGGAGGTGGAATCTCCTTCCTTAGATGTTTTTAAGGTCAGGCTTGACAAAGCCCTGGCTGGGATGATTTAGTTGGGGATTGGTCCTGCTTTGAGCAGGGGGTTGGACTAGATGACCTCTTGAGGTCCCTTCCAACCCTGATCTTCTATGATTTAGGAAACATGGGGCTTTTCATTCCTTAGTCTCTGGCACCATCGTGTGGCCATTTCATTTTACTCCTTTCAATTAAAAGCTTTATTTTGCAACAAAATATTCTGTCCATGGGGAAGACCCAGTAGCCAAGGCTACGTTCATCGTACCTACAAAAAAAGGATGGAAATATTCCCTAGGCCCATTGATCCCAGTCTGCCTTTTGTGGTGCTGCTGCCCCTGCAGATCAGTCCCAGGCCCCAAAATCTGCTCATGCCCGCCTGGCTGAGCTGTGCAGGGTGTCAAGCCCTTTCATTCTGCTTTGCCAAGTTTCCATAACTTGGAGGGACTTCAGCTGCCGTTTTTCCCCATTGGACCTTCCACCCCACAACCAACCCAGCTCCTATATGTCCAGGGGCTCTTCTCCCAGGAGAGGGACATTTCAGGGCCCTGGTCCCTGTTTACCTTTTGTCTCTAAGATGCTCCAGGGTGTCCACTATTGGGGTGTCTGACCTTGGCCCTTTGTGGAGCTGCTACTGACCCTCCATTCCTTTGTTCTCATCTCTCATTGCATCAAGCATTTTTACTGGCCATCAGCAGCAGCCCAAACACATTGCACTTGCCTTCTGTTTAGAGACAGTGTCCCAGCAGTGTGTAAACTGCCTGAATCTCTGCTATCTAAGCACTGACTGCCCCTCCATTTCCTTGGCACCCAGTTTGGGCAGATGGGACCTTTCCCCCAGGGCTCAAAGATTCACCCCTTCTCCTTTATCATTGACGATTATCCGCAGAAGCAGAGGGGTTGGGATTCTCAATTGTACCAAGGTGATTGAGGAGCACTAACCCTACTGGTCTTGATGGGACTGGTGCTTGCCTCTGACTGTGAGCAGGATTCAAAGCTGTGCAGGGAAATCTCCATGGATTTTCAGGCCAACAGTTTAACCACTCGTCCGTGACAGCAAGAGATAAGCAAAGTCTCGGGGTAAAAGAAACACCCCAGCCCCTGTTCTAAGTGACCACGACAAGACTGGGGGTTGAACCCCTCAGGAATCCTGGGCCCAGCCTTGTCAGGGTTATGAGGACTCTGCCACAAATGAGAGTAGAAAGAGAGTCCTTGAGGTCAGGCAGGCCTCTGGGTAAGGGGGTGGGAATGAGGACTCAGATCCTTTTCCTAGCCAATTCCACTGGGGTAGTGTATAAGCCAGGAAAGTTCACCACAATAGCAGGGTCATACCCCCCTTGAGACTTGCATTCTGTACTCATTACTTCACCGCAGCTGCTCCCTCTCTCCCGTTGGCTTTCTCAGCACCTGGCCCCACAGCGCTTCCTGCCACTCGGAGACTGCACTGTCTGGGCCTGCTCCTGTGGACGTGAGCCCACCTCCAGATTTCTAAGGACTCAGCAGGAGAAAGGGGCCTTTCCAGGAAACTGCCACTGCTCCTGGGAATCCGTGTGTGGCACTGGACACCACCAGCAATCATTTGGCTCCCGACGCACAAGGAAACCTAAAAGCTGACTGCCCGGACAGGGGCTTGAATTCTTCACCTTCAGAGCTTGATGTTCCTGCCACGACAAGAGCAAGCAGGCAGGGAAAAGAGAGGCAAAAAAAGCCCCAGGAACCCCTCCTCTTTTTCTCCACGGCCTCTGCCTATCAGCAGGATTCCTTCTCCTCCCTCCTGGGCCTCAGGGCAACTAAATCTACGCAGCTATACAGCCGGTCCATTCGGTGCACCCTAATCCCCCATGCTTAAGCCTCCCCACCAAAGTCTGCACCTGACTCCATAGAATTAAGTCTCACATCTCACTGGGAACTCTACTTTTTGTGCCTGGAGACTCTCTGCCCCTCAAAAAGAAAAGGAGGACTTGTGGCACCTCAGAGACTAACAAATGTATTTGAGCATAAGCTTTCGTGAGCTACAGCTCACTTCATCGGATGCATTCAGTGGAAAATACAGTGGGGAGATTTATATACACAGAGAACATGAAACGGTGGGGCGGGGGTGCCTTTTATAGTGATAATCAAGGTGGGTCATTTCCAGCAGTTGACAATCACTACAAAAGTCTTCCCCTCCCCCCCTGGAAGGAGCCCTGGAAGGAGTTGGGCCCTGGGAAGGAGTTGGGGGTTGGACATCAGAAAGGTTAGGGTGTGAGCCCTACATGCTTCCAGGCTAGCCTTTGCCATTTCTGATTTGCCAAAGAAACAGTGGATGACTGGTCTAGCTGGCCATGGTCCTCCCCTCCTCTTGCCCCATCCTTGGTTCTTGCCAGCAAGTTAAAGAAGTATGGGCTGGACGAATGGACTATAAGGTGGATAGAAAGCTGGCTAGATTATCGGACTCAATGGGTAGTGATCAATGGCTCCATGTCTAGTTGGCTGCCGGTATCAAGTGGAGTGCCCCAAGGGTCGGTCCTGGGGCCGGTTTTGTTCAATATCTTCATAAATGTTCTGGAGGATGGTGTGGATTGCACCCTCAGCAAGTATGCAGATGACACTAAACTGGAAGGAGAGGTAGATACGCTGGAAGGTAGGGATAGGATACAGAGGGCCCTAGACAAATTGGAAGATTGGGCCAAAAGAAATCTGATGAGGTTCAACAAGGACAAGTGCAGAGTCCTGCCCTTAGGACGGAAGAACCCAATGCACCGCTACAGACTAGGGACCGAATGGCTAGGCAGCAGTTCTGCAGAAAAGGACCTAGGGGTTACAGTGGACGAGAAGCTGGATATGAGTCAACAGTGTGCCCTTGTTGCCAAGAAGGCCAATGGCATTTTGGGATGTATATGTAGGGGCATTGCCAGTAGATCGAGGGATGTGATCTTTCCCCTCTATTCGACACTGGTGAGGCCTCATCTGGAGTACTGTGTCCAGTTTTGGGGCCCACACTACAAGAAGGATATGGAAAAATTGGAAAGAGTCCAATGGAGGGCAACAAAAATGATTAGGGGACTGGAACACATGACTTATGAGGAGGGGCTGAGGGAACTGGGGATGTTCAATCTACGGAAGAGAAGAATGAGCGGGGATTTGATAGCTGCTTTCAACTACCTGAAAGGGGGTTCCAAAGAGGATGGCTCTAGACTGTTCTCAGTGGTAGCAGATGACAGAATGAGGAGTAATGGTCTCAAGTCACAGCGGGGGAGGTTTAGGTTGGATATTAGGAAAAACTTTTTCACTAGGAGGGTGGTGAAACACTGGAATGCGTTACCTAGGGAGGTGGTGGAATCTCCTTCCTTAGATATTTTTAAGGTCAGGCTTGACAAAGCCCTGGCTGGGATGATTTAGTTGGGGATTGGTCCTGCTTTGAGCAGGGGGTTGGACTAGATGACCTCCTGAGGTCCCTTCCAACCCTGATATTCTATGATTGATCTATGGCTTTTAAGCCTTCCCTCAGAGCTGTCAGCACCAGCCGCCTCTGCTCTAGGTGCCCAGAGGAGGAAAGGTG